AGGCGGTTTAGCCAATCACAACACACTGGGCTAGCTAACCAATCAGAGCCCATCGCCTATTTCTGAGGGAGGGGCTTTATAAAAGAAGGAAATGATCACCGCTTTTCTCAGAGAAGGGACAGATAGGTGTGGAATAAAGGTAAATTATGTGAAAAAATAATGCGTTTTTTAAAAAACGAAGCATTAACACATGTTAGACTGCACCCCATAAACACAATCAAGCCTAGAAAAAAAACAGTGAGCCACCCCTTTAAGTCTATTTAACAGAAACACTGACTGACCAGTAATGTCAGAACCAAATATATAATTCTTCTGTTTATTATGAAAATTTGCCATGTTACAATTGTAATTATTAAAGTTATATATCATAAAAATGATTTATTGATATCACATATTCTTCAACTCTCATTTTGTGAAGAGAGACTGATTTCATGTGTTTCCCTTTTCAAATTATTCCTATTCCCCTGTTTCAGTGCAACAACTGACTTTATGGATTTGTGCAATGTAAATAACACAATATGGGATCAACACACCGTCTTGGCATCTGGAGCCAGTCCAGCTGGAGGGACAGATGCATTTTGCTTCTCCATTCACAGCAATACACTCACCACTGTTCCAACAGCCACCATCACAAACCACTGACAAACACAACACAAACACAAACACAAACAACACATATACATAAGTTAAAAGCTGTGTTGATGGACTCAAAAATTATTTTTTTCTTGACTATTCATTTTTTAGGGTTCAACTTGCAAACAACTACAATTAATTCACAAAATGGAAATTAATTCACAGTTACCTTTGTGACAGTATTTTCCTCCAAATCCTGAATGGCATCTGCATTTTCCAGGTCGAAGGCACTCTCCACCGTTTTTACACTTTGGATAACAGTTAGCTGAAATCAACATGCAAATCATGTGAGTTTTGGCCAATTAAATATATAAAGCACAAGTTTCACACACACACACACACACACACACGCACGCACGCACATACACAAACACACTTTCCATTCAAATACATTGCAGAATAAGTATCTTGAAACCTCACCATATTGGCAGGTTTCTCCCTCATATCCTCTTGAGCAGAAGCAGCTGTTGTTTCGGATGCAAATCCCGGCATGTTTGCAAGGTGGGTCGCACGTCGCTTTGGGGTCAAAGACAAAAGGAAGAGCCACTCCACGGGGCCCATCGGACCCTCCCAGACAGATCCCAGCCAGAGTGGCCAGTGCCGCTAGCAAGAGCTGCATGGATGTACAGCAAAGCACTGCCATTTTTAAACCACACTCTTACAAGGATCCAGAAGGATTGAGATTGCTGGTGAATGTATGTTTGGACAGCATACTGCACTGTGATCATCTACTGGACAGGCATGGTACTGCAAGGAGCCACAGCTGGAAAAGTACCATCTACAGGTGCATCTCAATAAATTAGAATGTCGTGGAAAAGCCATGCCGAATTGAGGCAGTAATTAAAGCTAAAGGAGCCCCTACCCCTACATGTACAGTAAATTAACATACTTTCCAGAAGGCCAACAATTCACTAAAAAATTTTTTTTTATTGGTCTTATGGAGTATTCTAATTTGTTGAGATAGTGAGTTGGTGGGTTTTTGTTAAATGTGAGCCAAAATCATCACAATTAAAAGAACCAAAGACTTAAACTACTTCAGTCTGTGTGCACTGAATTTATTTAATACACGAGTTTCACAATTTGAGTTGAATTACTGAAATAAATGAACTTTTCCACGACATTCTAATTTATTGAGATGCACCTGTAAGGAATGTGTGAGACAGGATTGAGAGACACACAAGCTCAGAGAGTGTGTGTTTAGACGAGTGTGTGTCGTTGTCTGTGGTTTATGGCTGTCTGAAACTTCATCACCAAGTGGTCCCAAATGGTATTCTGACATCAAGTGCCATTTATTTCTTTTGATTTCTTATTTCTAAAATGACTGTTTTCTATTTTAATAAATTTAAAAATTTGATTTATTCTTGTGATGGCAAAGCTGAAATTTTGTAGAATTCTTTGATGAATAGAAACTTCAAAAGAACAGCATGTATGTTAAATTGAAATCTTTTGTAACATACTTTCTCACTTTTGATCAATTTAATGTATCGTTGTTGAATAAAATTATTTTCTTTCTTTCAAAAATTATTGTGTATATATATATAATATGTTTTGGGACCATAAAAGAGAACAGTGAAAAGACAATAACACATTAAAATGTTGCTGTATAGCATAATTTCTAGCAGCTATAGTGACTATTTGCAGTTTTTATGAAGTCCAGTTGCGTCTTATGTTGTTTAAAAGAATTGTCCTTTCATATATTTTATTCACTTTGCAGATCCCAGGAAATGGAGGAAATAGATTCTGCAGATGTCCTGAGAATTTTCCTCCTCAATGAAATTCCAGCTCCAAGTTTTCAGACCACAGCTAACATATTTCCCTCTCAACTACATGCATGTGTATGAACTAAAATTGAATTTAGGTAGATTTTTTATGCTTAGTTATTTGTTGTTTTTAGTCATCATTGTTAAATGCTTTGTTGGCAAGCCTGACTCCAGCATATGCTGAATGTCACACTTCCAGGCTGTTCAGTAAGTAACAGGGCATATTGTAACTCTATCTGCCTGAAATTAATGGTTCATTCATGGTAAATGTAGAAACATCACATGCTCTTTGTTTCAGAGGCCCATTAAAGTTGAACCAGAAGGAGCTGCTGTTCTGGAACATGAGAGGAAGTGAGTAGGAACTTTAACAGATGTGCAGAATCGTTTTTTCCTTCAGAAGAAAATGTAAACACTGCACATATGCAAAGCACATTGAGAACACAAATGCATACACGTACCATTTGTGCTTGAACATTTCGGCTTATTACAAGGTAACTGCTGAACTTTCAATAAACTGTATTTACCCACCTAAGATGTAAAAGTACCATGGCCTTAACTGCTACAGACTTTGGTGGTGGACCACCATAGGGGGACACAATGCCCCAATATTATTAGGTAAATAAATGGTTTCAACCCCAAAATTCCAGACGGTGTTTTACCTCACTCTGTCTATTCCTGTATTGAGGTACCATATCATGTATGGACCATCTTGTGGAATATCGCTGCAGCAATCACACTTTTCTCTACAATACAAACATTTGGTTTTATTTTAATTCAACTATAAGCAAATGAGACTTGACTATATTACTAATAAAAAGAGTAATGTGCTATTTCAGTCTAACCCACAAAGTAATCAGATATTAAATAGACATTGTTTTTATTTATTCAGTGCTTACTAATTTAACTCACCATAACATGAACACTACTGTAATATGATGATAGAAATAAATAAATATTATGATTTTTAATAAAACGTGATCTCGCCAGTGTCCTGAGAAAAAAAAAATATATGGACACAAATTTCGTCAAAGAAATTTTATTTATTGATAAATCCTTTCCCTAAAATAAAATTTAAATAAAATACCATTTAAAAAGGGTTTGATGTAAAAGTGCCATTCCAACAAAACAAGACAAGCAAAAGGGTTAAAGTGAACGAGAAACATCTAAGTTATCAATGATCTACACCAACACCAAAAAGAACAAATTTATGGTTGAATTTGACTAAAATGTGACTAAAGAAGTGCTTTAAGAACAATTAACGGAAGTCCATTTTTATAATAAAAAATTAACCTTTTTTTATTAAATTTTTTTCTTAACTAATATGGTATTCCATAGGTTCCTGCTGAGGTAAATTTCTATTTATTTTAATATACATTTTATTATGACACCTGATTCATGTTCCACTTTGTACTGGCCTCAGAACAGCCCACTTTATTTTGTTTAGTTTTGTTTTTTAAACGTAGTTTAGACCTTCATTCTAAACATTCCCTTAGAACAGATATTGTGGAATTTTATTTTTTTAAATTACTGCAGTCTTAGATGTTGAAAAAATATGGATTAATACAAAATTCCCATAAACTCATGAACTTCTGAAAGCTGGCATGTTGTTGTATGTTAACACCATAGTCCAAAGAAATCAAAAGAGTACCTGCTCCGCAAAGAGCTAAATAACAATAAAATCGGCATGACCGAATGGAAATTGCAGCACACTGTTTAACATTACAAAACAAACGCACAAGAAAAAATAAAATTGTAACGGAGTAGTCAAAGTGGTTTGAGTGTTTGCAGCTCTATGTAAAATATTCTGCTGCTGTCATCCCTTCTCCCAAAATGTACTAAAGTGCTTCTGTCTATCCAAGCAAAACCTTCAGTGCTGTGCTAAAGAATCGATAATGATGGTGTAGAAAGACATCAGTGCTCTGGCTGAAACTTGCTGATCAATCCTGACGTTGTCACCCTACAGTACAGACTTCATCTTCTGCCATTTGTAACACTCAGGACAAGCTTTTGTTTCACGACATGGGAACATGGGGGACTGTGGGTCATACGGAGGGGCGTCACTGTATCACACTCATGTGTCCACGTGAAGACGTGGTGTTTGAGCCACAGTCCACGTACAGGTACTTCTCCTGAGACACCTGCTCAGCGTGGCCAAAGTACAAGACAGTTACAGTCATCCTGGAGAGACGAGAACATAGTATCAATCAAATGGAAATGCTCTTATATAATATTAATTTATTATATAATATTATAATAGTTTGGTTAATGCTTATTTTATCTAATAAAGATCTACCATTCTTTTCAACAGAAATACACTGAATACAATAACAACAAATGCATACAGTAACATTTTTCAAAATAAAGATTTCTAAATATTTTTTCAATCTGTTCTTTTACATAAACTCTTTCAACAAACGATTCTTAAACTGAATCAGATTTTTCATTAAAGAATACTTACTGCATCATGACAACAATGTTATGCACTTTAATTGACTGCATGGTACAGAAGTCACTGTAAAAACAGATGCGCAATCAGTAAGATAAACTGTCTTTATAAAAGTTTTATTATAATATAAGACCTGACTGGCAAATACTCACAATATGTAGTTCATCTCATTTGCTATGATGGTGGGAACAGTGTAATCAACCTAAAAATGAAACATTGACATTGATTACAGTTGTTATCTAAGTAATTACACATATGTGACCCTGGACCACAAAACCAGTCTTAAAGGGTTAGTTCAAATACATAATCTTTCCATTGATGTATGGTTTGTTAGGATAGGACAATATTTGGCTGAGATACAACTATTTGAAAATCTGGAATCTGAGGGTGCAAAAAATTCAAAATATTGAGAAAATTGCCTTTAAAGTTGTCCAAATGAAGTTCTTAGCAATGCATATTACTAATCAAAAATTAAGTTTTGATATATTTACGGTAGGAAATTTACAAAATATCTACAAGGAACATGATCTTTACTTAATATCCTGATGATTTTTGGCATAAAAGAAAAATCAATAATTTTGACCCATACAATATATTTTTGGCTATTGCTACAAATATACCCCAGCAACTTAAGACTGGCTTTGTGCTCCAGGGTCACATATAGAGAAGAACACAGATTACAAAGTCATGCAACTAAATCAAACAGCCTTATTGGGAGGATAAAGGTCACTTATTTCTTTCGGTTATCGTAAAGTGTTAAACTGACGTGATTTTCCTCACCATGAATACAAATTTGAAACAGTAAGGATATGGATTAGTACAGTTGTATTATACACTTTTATTATATTTTATATGTTTATAGAGCAGCATACTATAACATATATTATATGACTAATGATTTTATATTAATACATATTTCTATAAATTATTCATTATATAATTATTACAAAGGTAAAATTGTACAGATAATATTTACAACATTTGTTTTGGGTTTATAATGAAAAATAGTATTATTGAAATATGTATTAACATAAAATTATTATTCATTAATTAATATATCTGAATGAATTAACATGTACCTGACGCATATCCAGGGGGGTGATAGTGGTGACATTACTGACAACAGACTTTCCGATAACAGTCTTGTAGAACTGCACCTGTGCTGTGATGTTGGCAACGTGTATTGGGTAGTAATTATTGTTGGTGATGTTCAGGGTATTCTGAGAAAGGCAAAAAAATACTCTTATTTAATACAGTTAAATAAAAACATGGCAACAAAAAATAACAAAATACCCTGACTTTGCCAAAAGTCCCATCTGATCTCACTATCAAGTCCAATCCCTCCACACAAAGAACAGAATCACAAATTAAACAGGTATTTTTGATCAACAAGCCTGAAATACAAATGAAAAGGGTTTGCTACAGATAGTACCGTGATATTTAGATAAATTATCCGCTGGTCTCGGTCGTATGTGACGTAGGCTGACTTCACCCCAACATAAGAGACATCAATAGCTCGAGGGAACAGGAAGAATACAGCCAAACCAGAAAGTAGCAGACACAGAACGACTGATAAAGACACGTACAATGTCCTGTGATAGCGCAAGAATATACAGTCAGTTATAAAATATAGTATATATCCAATGCTGATTTGAAAAGGATATTGAAATTAACTTACGTTCGTCTTGGCTTCAGCCTCTGGTCACTGTATGGTATCAGAGCAACTAGCTGGTTTTCTTGGTCTGTGAGAATGTCCAGGAAAGGAAGTACACATAATTACATTTTTACAAGTCCAAATAATGATTTATTCAAGCAATGTATTGATGCCACTGAGATAAAGAACAATTTATTAACGTTAAACATTTAGTTTCAGCTATATGTTCATATTACATATAAAGTAATGGATGGTATGGATGGATGGACAGATCTGTTCTCACCTCTAGGTATCCTCCCCGTCCCTTGACAAGTAGGACAGGTGATGCTGTCTCTGCCTGTGAATTCAACATATGGAAACTGTGACACGTCATGTTTATTGTCCTCAATGGGAGACTCTGTGTTTTCAGTCAGGTTCTCCTGCTCCTCTTTTTGCTTTGGCAAGGAAAACAGAGACTTCCCCATGGTTGGGCCTGCCTTCAAAGAAAGAAATCATCTGTGAAATGTAGTGAATTACAGTGCAAGTCATGAAAGATCACTCATATCTAGACGTTTATGCAGTGGTGAACTTGAACATATCATCCACGTGACAAAGTATGACACTGCAGGCTGTTTTATAATGTCATTCTGTCTATAAAATATACATTATTTTAATATGTTATGATGTTATCAACATATTCTGGCTGAGGACACAGTGTACTGCCGACAATCTCATGTTCTTGATAGGGCGTAATATTGATGCTTTAGCAATGCATAATTAAAATGCACTTACTTGACTTCATATTAACGCATTTAGATCGATGCATTTAAAGAGCATTATTAACACGCACGCGACGAACATGGATCGTGATGTAACAGCAAATGGGCCTAAAAACAGGTCAAGCACTATACGAAATGACTCTTATTTTAAGGTTCGATATGACAATATAGCGAATAGGATAGGAATCAATGTATTTTACCTTCGATTGAAGGGTCCTGCCTTCTGTTTGTATAAAATTACAGTTGCTATATCGTCGTTACTCTGCTCCAACAATGTTGACATTGTCCCCCACCCGTATTCTAAGAAGCCCCGCCTCCTGTATTAATAAGCGGCATGATGGTACATTGTGGACGTTGTGTGATTGGACGATAGCTACGTGCGACACTATTACAAGCCAATCATATTGGATAAGGCGGGATTTGCTACTAAGCCCCGCCCCACTGTTTATAGTTGCAGATCAAGTTTCAAGGCCGTGTGTGCTGTTAAAACGTGCAATGTTTTGCTCTGGGTGTAATTTCCTTTATTTACTAAAACGACTGTTGATATGCACGTTGCGCTAGATATGCTCATGATTAGAACTAAAAATTAAAACATTGCATCTTAAAAGTAAAATAATAAATATACGAAACGTTACTAAGGATTTACCTAGAAACTTAATCTACTTACAAGCATAATGATTGACAGCTTTCATCAAATATGCTGTGACAGGAAGGGAAAAATTTGGCTGGACAGATAGAAAGGAACAGTACAGATTAGTTTTTTCCCCAATACAAAGAAGAAGAAAAAAACAATTATATGACTCATGAGTTTTTTGTGCAATCAAAATGAGAAAAGTGCTAAACCACCAAGTAGGCATGTGGTTAACACTTGATTTTTTAACAATTTAACAATTGATTTCCTGATAATAGTTATCATCAGACAATCCATCAAAAAAGTGACAGTATACACACACAGTGAACAGAGGAAATTTATAATTTACAAATATATAATATATATGTGTAGGCCATAACAATGTTTTCTTATATCTGTACTTTACATTTAACATTTTTTGTACTGAAAATGTAAAAGTTATCTGCCTATATTGTAACTGACTTGAAAACTTTCGAAAATAAACCTACACTGAGAAATAATCACATCTAGCCATAGTGTTCCTCTATATATTTGTTATGTATTGATTTTATAGAATTACAAATACATCCAGGGGCTAGGCTACATTAGGATAAGCAAAAATACACCAATAATAATAATAATAATAATATTAATATAAAATCAAAGGATAGAAATAAAGTTTAAAAATATTAAAATGTTTACAAATAGAATGCATTTACAGCGTTCTTATTTTTCAAATATAAAATTATTTTTTAGATATTGCTAGATATTGTCTTTAAAATTAAAATAAAAGTTTAAAAATGTACAAAAAAACATCCATGTCAGTGTTCCCCTATATAGGCCTATATGTGATCATCATGAAACTGAAGAGGATCTGTTTATCATGGCCACATGGCGAATGAGTTCTTCTGTGTTTACTAACAAAATAACTTTAGTAGTTACCCGAGACATTGTTAAATTAGATTCGAGAATCTAACTAGGTTACTTGGCAAAGACATGGGAAGTATCAAAACTTGTAATCTTGGCGATCATTAACTCGGCCTTCAGAGACTGGCAGTGGAATAAACCATTTCTCTCACCAAACGTGGATTACAGGGCGTTGTAATATTAAACGTTTTGGGTTAATCTTGTCAAACCGCATGCGCAGTCACAGAATACTGTTCCATAATACCTTATATTATTGTTCAGGAACCAAAAGAAATGTATAAAAGTCCGTATTTTTAAATACGCAAACTATTGTTCTCTTTTGGACCCCTATGATTTTACGCGCATTTTGCTTGCAGTGGTCCCGCCGAACTCACCTGAGTTTCGGGTTACACGTTCATACCTCACTGAAGGAGGAAACGGAGGGCGCACCATAAAACCAAGAAGAAGAAGAAGAAGAAGAAGAAGAAGAAGAACGGAGGGCGCACCTGCCTGACAAAATACAGCTGCAGTGTCGACGCTTACTCGGATTTTCTTTACATACTTTTGAGGAAGTTAAAGTTGGATGTTTTTAAAGCTCATATGTTTTGAAAGATTTTGAGAAAATATGTCGCAGGGTATAATCTTTACCCTCATCTTGATCACAGGTAGGGGCGTTTCTTCTTATGCTAATGCTTTGTGGTCACTTCTTCTTCAGTTAGTGTATGTGTATAGAAAAATATCAATAGGTGATCAGATTTAATTTTTTTACAGCGCTAGAATTCATGGAGGCCATATTCACCTATCAGTTGACATAGGATTTGTCTCATAATTTATTCAAATTGAGTGACCAAGGGCTATAATAATTGTTTGTGCATTATTAATCCTTCACTTATATTCATATTACTATAGTAACCAGCATCTAAATATCAGATTATGAGTACAAATACAAATACATTTTGATATATATCTCAGGTATTCACACATGTTGTGCAATATGGTTCCACTTTGTCTTATTCGAATTTGCTTAAAGATTACATATTATGCCACTTTTTACAATATGTAATATAAGTCTCAGGGGTCCCCAGAATGTGTCTGTGAAGTTTCAGCTCAAAATACACCACAGATCATTTATTATATCATTTTGAAAATGCCTATTTTGAGTGGAAGCGGAAACATGCTGTATTAGAGCATGTCTCTTTAAATGCAAATTAGCTGCTGCTCCCCGCCCCCTTTTCCAGAATAGAGCTGTGGCATTACAGCTGGTACCTGCTAAAAACATATGTTTTGGTTCTGGTTATCATGTTTATCGCGTTGAAATCATGCGTTTTAAACCGTATTAGTTTAAAGGGGTCATATGATGTTGCTAAAAATAACATTATTTTGTGTATTTGGTGTAATGAAATGTGTTTATGCGGTTTAAGGTTAAAAAAACACATTATTTTCCACATACTGTATCACAGCATGTGAGTACTAAACTAAGTTCTCATTCACACACAAGTTTACGTTAAAAACACACATGAGTTACAAAAATAGTCAGTTATGACTGTGAAGGTAAACAGCTGGGGAATCAGTGTGGCAGCAGCAATATACAGTAAATAAATCAATAAATCCACTGCTCTCTTGTCTCCTCTGAGGCTGGGACTGTAAATAGTGTTCTGTGCTCGTCTGTGCAGCCAATGACAGAACAGTTAGCATGTTTTGCTCAAACTTTCGCCATGGCATTAGAACT